GTGGCAAGCTCTCAGTGGAGCGGCCTTCTTGCCCCGCCATCATGTCCCTTGACGGATGGGATGGATGGGCTGTACCAGACAGGGACGAAGTCTAGTTGCCCGTCCGAAAATCCAGGGACGGTGCTAGCAGCACAGACTGGAGTGCCCCAATCCTATGGGCCATCATGGAAGCAAACACATGATGGAACCACATGCCAAACACTGGTGAACTCCACATTGCCTTGGAGGCAGAGGAGACTGAGGCCTTGGTGCTTGGGACCTCGGGCTCATCCTGTAGTGTGGCTGTGTTGCTGCTGTCAGCCATTGGTCGACTGGATGGCATTGCTGCCAAAGGGATCCTCTCATTCGGCACAAGCCTGGTGGCATTGGGAGTACCGAAGAGGGTGGTCCGGGAAGGACCAGCTGGGAATCCTTGGTGTCGTTCGACATGGTGGACACCTGGATCTCCAGCAAGGTTGGTGGTTGCACCTGCCCTAGAAGCTGTCTGCTTGAAAGCATCCTGCTTTGGGCGTGCGCTTGCTTGCACAGGGATCGTCTCGTTTGGAACCAGCCTGGTGCCACTGGGAGTACCAAAGAGAGGTGGCTCAGCTAGAACCGCGTTGGTTGCCTTGTGTGTCGCCTTGATGGGCAAACCGTGGGGCATCCAACATGGGTTGGTTGTCGTGGGTCTACCACAGGACGTGCGGTCTTGCTTGGAAGGGACAACCGTTGTGTTGATTACATGCGTGATTTCCTGGGATGGTGGAATCGTCCAGCTAGAATCGTTGTTGCTGTTGGCTACAGTACTTGCCTCCCCATAAGCCAATGTAGAAGCTGGGTGACTACTGGAGCTGAAGGTAGGCAGCTCTGTAATCTCCCCATCACCCAGTGATGCATTGGGAGCACCAGCTAGGGCAAATGGTTGCACTGGAGCAACCAAGGGAATGGCATTGGGCAGCTGGTTGCTGGTCGCTGTAACTCGCAAAGGACGAGTGGCCGGCGACTCCCCACAAGCTGGCTTGGAAGATGACTGGTGGTTGGTTGTGGCACCGACCGAAGGGCGAATGACGTGCAACTCCCCACAGTCTGACTTGGGAGTTGGATGCCCAGTCGGTGGAACTGTGGCTACATTGCTGTTGTTGTTGGAAGCAAAGAGGGCCTCTGCCAGTCGCCGCTGCGTGGGCTTGACACTAGTGCCAGGCAACTCCCCACAATCGTGCTTGAGAGATGTGTGGTACCGGTTGTGCCTCCTGGTCGCGGCTGCTTTCTGCCTAAGGGCAGCTGCTTTTCCATTGATCTTCTCGAGGTTTCGACTAAGGGACTTGTCAAGCAGCTGACGAATGCACCACTGTCGCTCGTCAATGAGACTATCAAGGGTAGTGTCAAGGGCTTGGATAGAGGTGTGCTGCGCATCCAGACTCTTCATGATGGCCTGAACCGTATCCTCCCGGGTTGTAGGGGAAGTGTGGCTAGTTGTTCTTGGGCTAGCCTGTTTCCTTGGTTCTCTAGCCTTCGAGGCCTTCCGTGATGGTGGAGGAGTCACTGTGGGTATGTAGAGTGACATGGTTGCTTTCTTTCAGCCAAGGAAGAGGTGTAGGCTGTACTTGGTGGTTACACTGTATCGCAGCTCTTGTAGCAGGGCAATAAACCTTGACTCAACTGTAATCTGGAAACCACAAAGATGACTTCCTGGGACCTTAGTAGAGGTCTTGGAAATTCAATCTAAGTGTGTTTGAATAAGGTAGCCTTGGTAGAAGCACTGGGAGTTGCTTCCTGTGTTGCCTTGGTGCTGGGAACTGGCTTGGTTTGTGGAGGTTTTGCCTCACTGGGAGCTAGCTTACTGGGATCAATGAATCTCCCCACAAAAGCTTCCAGAATTCAAGGTGAGTTACCCACTGACCAATTAAAGGGTGTCGGATTCGATGGTGATACTCGTATCCTTGTCGAGTAGGTCCTTCCTGTCGCCGTGTCGCTCCGAGTTACTCTTTCGGTGGCTCCGTTCGTCCGTGAAAGATCGCGATTTCACGATTTTCAATGACTCGACGAAGATACAACGTAAACTCCTTAAAATGTGAGGTCGCTTCCAGTTTACGGAGTCTGAGCCTGCTTTCGGTACAGGGAACTGCTGTCGAATAAGTCTTCGAGCGGTACAAAGAATCCAGGAACGAAAATGAACTCTTGATGGTTCCGTGTGACGTTCAATACTGACTCAGTGCACTCGTAATAAGTACCGAAGCGATCAGTTGAACTTCGAAAACTGCACGGACGTTTTGATTGGCTGAGCGGCTTCCGAGTGATGTTCTCCAACGTTCCGTGAAATCGCTGAACACGATCCAGTACGTTCCTTGACGTTCCGTGGCGGAAACTCGTGACACAAGTAAACTGCACAGGCGATTGGAAAGAGATACGCCTCACGATTTGCAATAAATCCAGTTGTTCCGCGTAAGTTCCTTGTAAATCGCTGAAATAACTGCAAAGCGATAAGCCCTAACAAAAAGCAATATAGAACAGTTGCTCTTGATAAACAGCCAACTTCCTCGTGACGTAAAAGACTTGATCTCAGTTGCCAAAGTGGTGCGAACCAATAAGTCTCGTGTTCACTCGGAGACTCAAGGATCCGTTTACGCGACCAGTGCTTCTTCTTTCGAGTGAATTGGCTGCTTTTGTCGTGTCAACAGTCAGCGAGTGGTACGAAGCTTGTGTTGCCGTCGTCAATGAGGTTGTAGCCTGAATGTAGGTCTTTTCGAAGGCAATGGGCTTTGGGTTGGCCTTGAAGGATTCGTAGATGGCCAAGTCAAAGGTTCCTGTCACTGTGCTGAGTGCAGGAACTATCGAAATCGATCAGAAGGTTGTTGACTTAGGACTTCAAAAGTAGGTTCTGAAATCAACACCAAATGCCAATGAAATTCAATGAATCCAACTGTAGCTGTAGCACTGATTGTTGTAGTGTGGAGAGCTCCTTGTCGGCCTGGAGACTCTCCTTCCCTTAAAACTGCCTGAATTCTATGCGACTGTTAATCCAATAAGTTTCTAGAAGGATCAGTTCCAATACCCAAGTAGTGGACTGGACCTCGCTGAAACCCTTCCTCAGGGACAGCGGTAGTCAGGCAGTTCAGGGAGCCTTGTCGTGCCTCAGGAGTGTTCCAACACCTCCAGTAGGCACCAAACCAAGGACTTGGCCCTGTCAGTCAGACAGGAGGGCCAGCAGAGCTCTCTGCTGGGCCCTTTTGGGCCAGCTCACCTCGTCAGGAGCTGGGGGCCTTCGTTATTCAATCGTGCAGTGGCAGTCTGGGAACAGTACTATCTGCTACCTCCTACTGCTTCTGCCCGGCCTCAACAGGATTGGTATCAACTGCTGCGGTATCAAAGGGGCTACAAGCTAATCAGGATCGGTCTCAATCTTTCGTACTATTTTCTTAACTATGGTAGAAAGGACGATCCTTTCTTGCTGCTTTGGCTGGAGATAAGCCAGCTGCGGGTGCTGGAGCTGTAGGCCAGCATAGCTGTTGGAGCTATCTCTGACGGGATCCAGAGCTCTCGCTCCTAAAAGTTATCGGAGAGACCCCAAGTTGATCATCAATGGATCAGCGAACAGTGACTGTCTTCAAATGCCAGTCACAGATTGGACGCAGGGCAATGGTGCAGCAAGAGTAAGGGGCTCGAGAGACCCACGAGTGGTAGTCAATGGGACAAAGAACAGACAAGTGTATGGCATACCAGTTTATGCACCTGCACCTTGGGGTAATATCCGCCAAAGGAGCAAAAAGCTAAAAGTGTTTTCAGAAAATGTAAAATCTCAGGAACGAGGCCTGTTGAAGTTGAATAATCTGAATCTGAATCTGAATTCTAAGAGCCTATAGAGCCTACAATAGGCTCTTAGAACTCAGCTCGGAAATTGAGAAGTCAGATCCCAGTGTAATCTGACTAGCTAGATTTTCAATCTGACTTTTCCAATCTGAATCTTAAGAGCCTGTTGTAATTTTATGAGCCTAATTAGGCTCTTAAAATTCAGATTCAGATTGGTCAACTCAAATAGGCTGTTCCAGGAGAACATACTTTTGAAGAAACTTTTTTGATAAAGGGGAAAAAGACTCAATTATAGAGTGTACCGGTATTACCTCAAGGTGCTGGTGAACAAAGAGGCAAGGAGGTACCCATGTCTCCTTTGGGTTGGCTGCGCGACGACATTGATGTGGGTCAGTGGTGCAATGAGAATCGAAATCGAAACTGGTCTCCTCCTATTCCCCTCTCCTCTGCTGGTCGCAGTCAAAGTAGCAGGAGGAGTCATGGTAGCTACGAACCGCGGCGAGGTTTATCAAAGAATTCCACCTCCGGCCTTAAGCTCTGAATCCCTCACCAGGCTTGTTCAACAAACCTGGTGAGACCTCTGAATGGCAATCTTCTGTTCCATGCGAATTACTAGTACATGTACAGTACATTCACCCTGGCCACGGTGCTCTCAGAACATGTGCTGCCTAAACCAAGCTGGTAGCTCAGAGCATCAAAACCCTCTTGGTGGTTGGCTAAAAGTGCAGGATGGCTAGACTGGATTCGAGTCCAGCAGAGGCAGGGTGGCCCAACTCTGCCTTATTTTCAAGCAGTCCTTCATACTACTTGTAGCTAGCTAGCACCATAAAGTCCACTACCCGTGCGATGTACTAGCAGTAGCTTGGCAGCTACCACTGCTAGCTAGCAAGGAAATAGAAGGGTATTTGAGGTAAATATGAAGGTAATTAAAATGTATTGTTACCGCAGCTTGTTGAATTCCAGAGTGTCTGGCTGGTCGGATTTCCGTGACCTGTCTCAAGTTGCCACCACCCAAACAATCTCAAAATGACCGCCCACCCATTTTGTTTCGTCTCTACCAGCTAGCTATCTAGGTAAACAATCAGCGATACCAACAACTAACTTTCAGGACCAAAACGCTCCCATACTTGTAGAAATCATACAAGAGGTCATTTCTCGAGTAGCAAGGTTGTTTCCTTGGCCAACCAGGCACAGCGCAATTCATCCAAATCGAGATGGTGAAGCCAGAAATCAACAAGGAAGCCCTGTAGGTCAATTGCAAGTGTTTTTTCCGTCGGTGGGGATCTGTCTACTGGCTGGGGTGCTCTGTCTGTGTGTTTTTGCCAGGTATTCTCTCATGATTATCTCCTTCATCAAGTCTCACTTGTGCTTGTCTCGTGCCTGCATTCCTTACATTACAGATTCTGGCTGGTGGTTTGGACTGCCAATAATGTGGGTGTGACACTTCTCAACAAAGCGGCCTTTGCCAAGGTGGATTTCCACTATCCCTACTTTCTCAGTTTTGTGCATATGGTATGCAACTCCATCGGCAGCCAAGGTGTCTTTTGGAGTATCCGTCGTGACAATCAACGCCTCAAAGCAGCCGGTATTTCCGAAGGCCAAGCATCCAGAAAACAATTGGGATTCTTTCAGCGCCTACTGGGCAATATCACCCGCAAAGAATTGGATCCCAAGGGCCGACAAAAAATTCTGGCGTTTAGTGTGATTTTCTCACTCAATATTGCCATTGGAAATGTCTCTCTACGACACGTGTCTGTGAATTTCAATCAAGTCATGCGATCCTTGGTCCCTGCATTGACCATTGGCATGGGATTGGCACTCAAAAAACCAGTTTCGGCACAGCGAATATTCAAGCGGCAACTGGCAAGCCCGAGGCCTACATTGGTAAGAAACTCTCCCATCTGTCCGTCTGTGCAAAATCATCATGCTGCAAGAGCCTCATCATGGCCTCTAACTGTTTTTTGGCATGCATGTTCAATCTGATCCGGATTGCTGGATTCCCATTCTAATGAAACGCTGCTTCCGCTGCTTCTTCTACAATCATCTGATCTAAAGCCGTCAGCATCAATGACAAGGCCAGTGTCATTTTTGGGGGCACGGACGAACCAACCGCCCTTGGTTGCCTCTACTCGATTGGTGCCATTGCTCAAGAATCCAATGGCAAGATTCAGACATCGGTGACGGATTTGTTGGAACCCTTTGGTGTATCGGAGAGCCGTATCTACATCAACTTTTTTGACATGCCCCGAGCCAATGTTGGATGGAGCCGTAGAACATTTGCTGGATAGGTTTTGCACTAAGATTTCCTCGTGTAGACCAAAGGCACACAAAAAATACAAACACGTCTCAATCCAGCTTTGGTAGCGGCAAATTGAGCATTTTTAATGATGATAAGCAGAGTTATGAGTGGTAGACCCACACCACTTTTGCACCGTCAATCTCCGCCACACCCACCAGCATCGAATCCACCAAAGAATTTTCCTATTCTTAGCATGCAATAGAAAAAGTAGTAGGTCTGACTCGACTCAATGAGGGCACTGACGGAAACAACGAAACAGACCAAGTCACAGTAGTTGACCACCCAAAAAGAAGCGGAGGACCGCACAATTTTAATTGTTGCCTTTTGGGTCTCCGCCCACCAATTTATCAGAGTTTCCCACGAACAAACAAGTCTGATATTGTTGCATTTATTAGCACGATCCGTTGCTCCTATCGCTGCCTCATCTCTGACGCATCCCCTGTTTTGGTGGACCCGGTCTTGGTCGGTACCAACGACACTTGTTCTTCGTCTTTGCTGTCACTATTGAGATTTGATTCAATATCCTTGCTTGCTTTAGAATCCATTCCTCCACCGGTAACTTTTTCCATTACCGACACATAAGAATAATAGGCCGATCCAGCCAAGACCACAACAATACCACATCCATTCAGTGGTTCAATGACAACGCCAAAGATGATGGTGGAAAGAATAATCATGAGGACCTGCTTGACATTGGCGGTGATGCACAATGTCAGTGGTGATGTCACTTTGTTGGCTTGTAGGGAGCAAATATTGAGGGAAAACGAAAAGACACCGGATGTCAAGACCACAATGGCAGGGTAGTAGAATTCAAACCACCCCACATCGGATACATCCGCATAGGCGGCATTGACACGTGCGAATATGGAGGATACTTCACCCGTCATTAAGCTCAATACCAGACACTGCACCAGTGCCAATGGTGCCATGTGTCCTAGCAAATCGACAGGATGCAATTTCGTGGGCCCTGTCATCATTTCTCCCGACGCCACCACTTTGAGTGCTGCCAGTGTAATACATAGGAGTGTGTAGAAAAATCCCAACCAAGTGTAACTCATATCACCAAAACAAGCCATGGCAACTCCAATGATCACAGGTACGACCGCCTTGA